TTTTATTGCACAAACACACCTTTATATGTAAGTATGTATATTGTATTTGTATTGAATGTTGGCATACAAATTAATTTTGCACATTTTTGAAGAAATCAGAAATACTTTTTAAGATCCATATACCATAGGGCAAATTTGCGCACTTTATTTGTGTGTGTGTATGTGTGTGTGTGTTTCTTTTTTACTGCAATCCACAACTGTTTGATACATACATCTTTACATGTTAAGTGACAATTTTCACCTGCCATCAAATCGCCTTCGATTATGTAGTACTTTGCCTTGCACTCGCCAACATACCTTTTTACATGCATACAAACATATATATATATATATATATATATGAATTCTTGTTTTTCCTCTTTCACTGTTAACACCCGACCTACGACGGCTTTTAAATCAACTTAAAAAAAAAAACTTTTTATCTTCGTACTTCAAAAGCGCATTTTTTCTTCTTCCCTTCGGCTAATTAGTTTTTTCTTCTGTTAATTATTTTTTTAATTTCATTTTTATTTCTTTTGAGTTTGCACACTTAACACTTACCAAAAGAATAGCTTTTGGTTTTGGGTTTTTTTTTTTCTTCAAACGTCTTAACGCGAGCACGATCCACCTTTAACTGATCGTTCGGCGCCAACTGAGCTTAGTTGCTTACCCCAAGCTGGTCCGAGCAGCAAGAAAGTGTGGTGAATTACACCAATGTTAAGTTTAAGTCAGTACCATGTACCAAGCAGACAAAAGAGCAGCAACAAAGGCCACAACAACAAAAACAATGGTAACACGTCGAAACTATTACATTAGCGCATACAAGGTATGATCATAAAAGAAAACGAGAAAAAGTACAATAATGCGAGGTAATAGGTAAAGCATAAAAATGTTAACAAGAAATAGAAGATTTAAGTTATTGTTGACAGTAAAAGCTTTCGCTAGAGCTTTCAAGGTTCAACTATGCCGGTGTAGATGAAATCGGAGCTTTCATGCACTGCGTTTTGTCATTGGCCGTTGGAGGGAGGTGTGCTTACAAGGTGTGTGGAAACTTAAGATGCGTTTATTGAAGCCACAACACCTTCGTTGATTACCTTCTACATGCGAATACGCACGTCTTCTTACGAAGAGGGCAGTTATAAGCTAGTGTAAATGAAAAGATTTAGCTTCAAGTGTAGGACCAAGAGTTCGTTGATTCGTGGTGTTTTAAAGAGGGCTTAGTGTCTTACTCATTTGTAAATTGCCATCAGTTTAACACGTAAGGTGCAGCCCTGTGGGTAAGGGGTGCAAATAAAACAACAAAGTTATTTTTCTTTTACAATAAATTCACTTGCAAGACGAATAAATTTTTCAGATCATTCAATTGACTTAAACATAAAAACCCTGTTGTTTTTGTTGTTGTTGTAACCGCAAAATATTCACCGGTAATAACCCGTCTGTCCGGTATAAAAGACCCGTCTGTCGAGAGAACTAGGCGCCTCTTATGACAGTCATGCCACATGCCAGGGATAAATAAACTCGCAATTCTCGCATCCTGACTTCATCAACGGTGATATTTTTTCCCCTTTCCGCTCTTTTTAGGATGAGGAAATAACCACACCGAGCCAGGTCTGGGCTGTAGGATTATGTTAGACGCTTTGAAACTGCTGCAGTGATTTTTGGTCGAGCCCTACCTCCAGTTTGTTGTTTTGCGTCTTGATGTTTTTCCAACAAACGGTGGGACCTACGGCTGATGGCTTTTTATGAGAAGCTTTTATTCCCATACCAGAAAAACATTCGGAGGGGTTGACATTCCCTGCCGAGTGGCATACGCAAATATAAAATTTAATTTAACGGGGATTTGAACCCGGGTATCGTAGGTGGTTCAGAATATCGCAGCCTACCTTATGCAGGGCAGCCAACGCAAATTGGTTTTTATTTCTCCTTTAGTCCTGCATCGACGAGCATAGATAGTGAGATAGATAAGTAAGGAGGATATGCACCGCGACCAGTGGTCTATTGTGCCCTCCGATTTCTTCAAATTATTTCAACCAGACCTAATGTGCTGATAAAACTAACCAGGCTAGTTCGTCGAGGATAGCTTTTTCAACTTTTTGGATAAGTTCTGTCATGATCACCTCGAAGCTCTTGCTCGATCTATGATCGTCTTCGAGAGATTCCCTTCCTTGGTTAAATAAACCGTGTCATTTATAAATCAAGATTTTTCTCGCTTGGTAACGATATAATATTCGTTTTTATCATGCGTCACTTTTCGCTCGTGATTATATTGCTCGCTTAACGATTGCTCTAAGACTAATTGTCTAATAGCAGCAAAATCACGTATGTATACTAGTTATGGGTTACTCAGCACGTTACGATTTTAATGAGCTTAAATACGCTCCTTGCCTGGATGTCGACCCTCGAGTTATCTCTTTCATACACCAAATGCCAATATTCAGGGTAGTAAGATCTGAGATTGCAGGGCTGACTTAGGCTCTTAGGCATGTCAGCAGAGGAACCCCATAAGGTGAGTCCTTTGCCCTCTTCTATGGGTCTTAGCAGTGAGCCAACTGCTGAGATATATGGAGGAGGAGGGAGACTGCAGGATCAAGGCGTATGTGGATGATCTGGCGGTTAATGTGAATGGCAAATTCCCACAAACCCTAATATTATGCCAAGCGGACTGAAGAGGATAGAAAAGTGAGTTAGGCATCAACCCACAGAAAATCGAACTCGCTCTTTTCACTAGGAAGTATAAAATTCCCAAGTTCACAACACCAACCATATCGGGAACGAACCTGTGTCTTGCTGAATCTGCAAAATGCCTAGGACCCACCATTGAATGTTCTCCTGAATCTACTCCCGGTTAACATCATGGGGTTGCACAACGCTGCTTGCGCCGCGGTTAGGCTGGAAAAGATGTCTGAATGGACAGCTACAAACCACGGGCACACTAGCATATTGAGAAGATTCCGTATACCGTAAAAAACAGAGTATTGCATAGCATTCACTGACTTCATGATGGACTTCAAGGTAGTTATCCCAGATAGAAACCTTTGCAACGGATTAACACCAGCCAACAATATTGGTGGAGGGGTTTATTCGAAGGATATCTATATCTTGGTATCTGTAAATCCTTTCGCTTACCAGATAACTGTAGGGTTATTCACGCAGAAGTGGTGGCCCCATATATAAGGCTGTTAACTGTCTCAGACCAGCGGTACTTTCGGATAATCGTATCCAGATCTTCTCTTTACAAGCCCTGGCATCTGTAACAGTAAAATCTAAAACCATTGAGAACTGCCGCAAATCACTTAATATGATGGCGGACAAGCTTGCAAGGAAGGGCACTTTCCTTCCACTCCACTTCGCCATCATGGAAGAATTTGGGCATGCCGCTTTCCACTTGCAAGCTCAATATTAGAGAGTTATTCGTTAATGATGCCAACTTAAGATGGAGAAGTCTCAGCACATGTAATGTGGCCAGGACCATATGGCCAGAATGGAACAGTAGAAAGTCACGTGACCTTCTCGAGCTGAAAAGGAAGTAGCTACAGTTATAGGCCTTCTTACAGGACATATTTTATTAGGCAGACACGCTGAGAGATTGGGCGTGCCATTTAATGATTTGTGCAGAATTTGCAGACAGGAAGAAGCACCCGAAACTCTAAGGCACTTTCTTTGCGAATGATCCGCACATTGGAGCAGTAGGCTGAAGTCTCCCTTGTAGACCTGATCGAGATGGCGGGGGCTAAGAAGCGCCAACTGCTCAGTTTCACAAGCTCCACGCACTGGTTTGACTAATGGGTGGGGTCTTCTGAAATCCTCAGTGATATCAAAATGCGCTTATGTGTGCCGAAGCCTGGCAGCCACTTCAACCAACCAATCAACCAAACACGCTCCAACAACACTCTCATTCCGCGATAATAAAATCACTGCCTCGTAACAACAACACACCAGTCCTTTCCAATTATCGCTTTTTTTGCGAGAAATTGGAGATATTAAGTAAAGATAGGTCGTCCATCTCCATCTGATATTTGCAACGCAGTGGAGGCTTGCTCTCGCTTAACTACGAGTATGTCGTCGCCGACTCATCGGATGTCTATACAAGAAATAGATACCCCGCGGTAAGGCATGCTTGTCGTAAGAAGCGACTAAAATCCATTATTTCCCGCGCAATCAGGCCTTTATACCGGAACGACCGAGATTTTTATCCGGCCAAGGACTGTCACTCCTCGAAAACCATTTTTCGAAGGGTTACTGCCGGGCTCTAAATGTCGTTCAGTATGTAAAACAAACCTTCCATAACTTTCTTCCCTTGAATACCCTCGGAACTTAACCACCACTTTTGCAGACGAGAAGCTCGATCTGGCCTGAAGACCCAGGTTATCCAGACTCAATTAAGTTCTAAATATTAAGCAATATTTATGGCTCTCTACTCCAACAGAATTGCAACGTACCTAAGATATTTCATGTAACGGGTCTACAAACGACATTATTCACTCTTGGCATGTACTCTTAAGCCGGGCCATATAACATTCCACTCTTTTTGGCTCAAAGTCTACGAAACAAATCTTTTACTGGGCCTCCTTATAGATGATCTCGACGATAGAGATAGACGATAGAGACTAGTTTTGCCTACTTCTAAACGGGATTGACGATGTGTTCAACCAAACCATTGCTGGGGTTCAAGAACAATAAGGATTTTTTTTCGGCCAGACTTGTCGAATTATTCCCGGAAAACAAATTTCAGGAATATTTATGCGGTTACTACAAGTCCGTTCAGCAATGATAACAACAAGTGTTTAGTCCGTCACGTTTTAACTAGAACACTTGTATGATGACGTAACGCTCGGAGTTTAAAGGGAAAATATTCAAGTTAGGTCTATCTGAAAGTATACCTGAGTTTTGTATATGATTCCGGGCAGAAATTCTTAAGCCGAGCATCTAGGGGACAAAACGAATTCAGCAAGGCATGAATTACTATTCTTTGAGACTGACTAATCCTATAACTCATTTCCATTACAAAGAACAAATACAAATACATTATCATATATTTTTTTATTTAAAAAATGCTAAATACATATGTATGATTAAGTTTTCGATGAATGTGAGGGAGAATTTACCCCATAGAAATGCGTACAAATTCCTTATGTATAAACGAAAAAAGCACACCGAATATATATATATAGTATGTTAGGTTGTGCAAACGAATTTACCAACAAATTATAAACAAGTATATGAATAATACCATCAAACAGCTATGCATATGCTGATTGTACAATTGTACATACAACTAAAACTGCGTTTCTAAATAACAAACTTACAAATCACTATGTTATGAGTGATATTAAAGAAAAAAAATCAATGAATATTTATAAATATTATATTTATAAATGATTTTATATTCAAGCATAATCTTAATATTTTGGCAGCTCAGAGTAGCGTGGCGGGGTAGACCATAAAACGCTGGAATTTCGTTTTAGATGATGTGAACTAATATTGGGGAAGATTAAACGCAAATCTGGCGACATTGGTTGCACTGAGAAGAAACTGTCAATGATTTTTGTGGGCCAATACTGTTGCATACGTATAGCCGCACCACGAACATGACCTAAAATATAAAAAGGAGAAATGCATTTAATAAATGTAATTTATAAGTAACACCTCGAACTCGAACTCGAACATACTTCGACTCCATGTTGGCGGCGGCGGTCGTTTATACGAAGTCTTGTCCTCTTCATCAGTCGAATCATCTTCATGCAACATTTCGAATGTATATTTCGACTGTAATTTTGGTGGTGGTGGCAACATTTTCGCTGCAGCCGCGCGTGCATTCTGTTGTTGTTTCATCTGTTGCAATAACTCACGTTCCTGTTCGGCTTTTAACTTGGCCGCCTTCAGTTTGTCGGCCTCCTCTTGTTTTCGCAAATTTCGTTGAATCTCTTCCAGTGCTTGCTTCTTTTGTTCAGCCTCTTGTTGTTTTTTAAGTCTCTTCTCTTCGCGTTCCTTAACTAATTTTGCTGCGCGTTCAGCACGTTCACGTTCTTTGGCTTCACGTTGTTGTGCAGCGATAAGATGTTTCTGTTCTCTTTGCTTTTTGCGCTCCTCAGCCAAATTATGTAAACCCTTGCGGAAATCTTCGGTGCTATTTTCGCGTGACAAGGCTTTGGCTGAGGTCGAGCTAGCGCTTGCCTTAACGCTGGCTATAGCCTTGGGATGAGCCATTGCTTTAGATGCACTATTTGGCACTTTCTTAATCTTTGCTAGAGTGCCAGTAACATTTGACGACTGTGTTGGAGTGAGGAAACGTCCCAGGGCTGGTGCTGAGGCAATTTTGCCAAATGTTGGTGTGTTCACACCCAACTTCAATTATGAAAAGAAAGCGAAATTTGAAATAATTAAAATTAATTGAATATTTTCACTTTTCTCATTAGCTTACCGGTACATTGTTCTCTTTAGTGCGTTTTGGGCGACCAACTGTGCCTACTTCTTTAGTATGTGCAGCAATCGCGGCATTTTCGAAGGCTTCAACCTTCTTCTTTACGGGACTTTGTACCAGTGGACTAAAAAAAAAAGCCAAATGTTTACATTTTCAATATATCGAATGCAAGCAATAACAAGTTATAGTTAAGTATAATTATGTAGCAATATCTTTCACTTACTTAAATAGCTCATTTGTACGCGTGGGCATTTTAAAAGCTTTTGTTGTTGCCAATTTTGCTGAAGCGCGTCCTGGTTTTGGCAAAGTTGCTAATTTGCCCTTCGGTTTTTCAAAAGACTCATCTTCCGTTATAAGACTATCGGCCTGAGGATGCGATGTGTCTTTTGCAGTTTCCATAGAGTGATGAGATGAAGCGGTCGAATTATCTCTCGTATTGCCAGTTGCATTGACATTATACGTCGTATCGCCGACCGTTGTTGCCGCTGTGCCCGACTTTTTGTCCAGAGTAACAGTCATATTTGCATTGTTATTGTCCATGACAAAAGTAGCTTGGCCAGCATCGACTTGGAATGTAGTTTGAGCGGCGTTTGCACAAAATGTTGCGTCGTTTATGACTGCACCTGCTACCACTGTCTTATCTGGTTGGATTCGATTATTGGGTGTTTCCTCCATGCCTGCAGCAGCAGCAATTTCTGGCGGAACGATTGACACACGTGTTGGTGGTGTGTTTACCGCTTCCGTTGCCACGAGATTATCAACTGCATCCTCATAGACAGAGGCAGCAGAAGCGCGTGTTTGTTTTCTCGTTTTACGTGTGCACAGACCTTCGTCAATTTCGCTGAATCGCTCAACTTTGATTGGTTTAGGTACAGCATCTTTTTTCTTACGGCGTCGGGTATTACCAGTGGTTGTGGTATTAGCTGAAACTGTTGTGGAACCAATAGTCGAATCATCACTACCGGCTTCCGCTTTTACAGCAACCTGGAGATTTTTATAAGTACATGTAGAAAGGTAAAGCCTTCCATAGTTTAAAATAAATACAATACCTTTGGAATGGGTACTGTTTGCTGAGTACTAACAGATGATTCCAATGTTGTAGGCGGTGTTGATGTATCAGTTATTTCTTTGCCGTCTATACTACCAGTACTGCTCTTCTCCCGTTTAATCTTAATGCAAAGACCTCGCGTCTTTCCGATTTCTGCAGAATTACCTATAAATTTAAGAATAATAATTATTATGTACATTTATGTCGTCATATAAAATAGTTCTTACGATCTCGCTCTTTATCTTTCTCTATTGCATCCTCATCTGATTCAATCTCTACCACAGATGGAGCTTTCGTTGGCAATGCTATAACTGAATTTTCCGATGCGACACTTGCAGTAGACTTAGAACTATCTCTGTTTGTTTGCGTTGCACTCTGTTCATTTTGATACATTTGTGAAGGCCTCTGTTCCTTCTCCAACTTCACTTTAGGATTATCAAAATTGCTGGGGCGACGTAGTTTACCCTTAATTTGTGGTTCTTTCAGATTTTTTTCCGATTTTAATTTTGCTGCACGTTGTGGTCTCGCAAAAGATATTTCGCCGTTATTATTTTGTGTTGTATCAGCTTGTGCCTGTGCTGCTGGCATCGCTGGCGGTGGCATTAATAGCCCCTCTGTTTGTTCTTTGCTCTGAATTTTTTCACTTCTTGGTGCGGGTTTAGGATTTACATTTGGAGTTTGTGGCACGAAATCATTGTCAATCGGTTCCGCTTCCATTGCTACGGCTGTAGCCAAGAGCTTTGAATTGCTTGTACGCGCAGACAGTCGCGGCGGAATAATTTCAGCCACAACTGTTTCATCTAGTAGTTTTACATGTTTATCAGAGAAAATTTATATTAAAATTTGGGAAATTTCAAACTTACTGTCACTCTCAGTCAAATCCGATAAGCGTTTGGCACGTTTCTTTGTTTGTTGCGGTGTCACGCTAGGCAATTGTCCTGAATATGATGATGCGGGTAATGTTGATTTCTGTCCGGTAAGTTTCCCGCGTAAATCTTCCATAAATTTCTTTCGTAACAAATTGAAATATTTTTCCAATAAAATTTTTGACAATGAACACACATGTAGAATATTATATTTTTAAATTATAAATACCTCCTTAAGCTCCTCAAACTCCCTATGATTTTCTTCACTTGTCTCAAATATTTTTAACAATTCTTCCATTTTAATTCTTTGTCCGGCAAAGTAGATACCACAAATTTTATAATTCACCAGCCGAACTTGTGTATTTAACAATATTTAAGCAAAAGAAATAAATATTTATCTAGAATTGATCACATTCACTAAAACAAATATATACTCAAATTCACGTCAACATCTGCCAGAAAAGTAATCAAATACACATTTTTAAATCCGTTAACAGACGCCCGCTATGGAATTCATGAAGCAGAACTGCCAACATTTCGATCGAAGCGACATCTGCAGTAAAATATTGTTTAACCCTTCTCGCATCAGTTACAACAAAGAACGTATATGAATACGAAATATACGTTCTTTGATGGTACCCAATTCTAATTCCGATCGCAATCGGATTTCAGAACAGCAACAACTCTCGCCAGACTTCTGTACAAATTCCTTCTTTGAAGCAAACAGCGTATATTAATATTAAATATTAAATATTAAATATAAAATATGTTAATATACGTTCTTTGTTTGAAGATAGCATAAATTGAAAGGTCGCTCGAAATTATTTTTAAATATTCTTTAATGTTGTTGATTGCCATAACTTTTATCAAAATCATGTTCCTTTTTCATTGCTTTCATAAAAAATTTATAATTTATAAAATTTAAAAATATAAATTCTTATTTCCTGAATTTGTTTTGAATAAAATTCACTTTCTTGAATTAAAAAGCACTTTTACATCGGTATCTCACCGACTTTTTCAAAATCGCATCAGATGTCGTTTTTCTATATATTCTTTTCTGCAACTTGGGACCGTTCATCAGCCGGTAGCAATAGCAGAAATGTGAGGGTTGATGGTGGATTGTAGTTATCTGAAGATCTATAGAATCACGCAGATCATGTGATTACAACCCGTAATCAAAGAACGTATATGAATACGTTCTTTGCTAAAACTTCAAATTTTTTATAAATTATAAAAAACACTGTATACCCTTAATGAAATTTTATCACAATCGTTGGCATATATTCTCTATTTATTATAGCTCTGACAGCACCGAATATTCAAAACAGCTGACGCCTTTTTGTTATTGGCATGTATAAAAAGTTGACCAAATAGTATTTTGCATTACTTTTTGCATTTATAACAGAAAAATTCTTTGTCCATTGACCGTGAAATAAAAAATCCTAATTAAATATGCAGAGATAAAAAAGTACAGAGTTTAACACACAAACAAAATACAAAGTATTGTTACTCACAATTCTAGTCAGCAGCTAGCGAGTCTCCGCGCTGCACAACATATAGTATATTTATAGCATACTTGCGATTAACGTAGTTTTTAGTAAATTAAAGTACATAAGATATGAATTATGCGTGGAGCTATTTTTTTGTGTTAATATGGCTGGCCTATTTAGTTGCGTCTGGTGTACTGCTCTTCTCACGCGGATTCCTACTTTCGCGTGTATCAAAAACGGATGTTAGCTCATGTCGTCAACTATCCCTAAATGAAAGTGATGTGAGTCATGAACTTGTTATTAACTTAAAAAAAAAAATAATAATAAAATAAATAAATATTATTTAATTAAAATTTTAAGGAATACTTTCTGAATGAAGAAATTGTGAACGAAATTTTCAAAGATGTTAACGCTACATCCAATTTGTGTCTACCACAAAAGTCGAAAGTGATTATATTGGTTATTGATGCGCTTAAATACGAATTCGGCGTTTATAATGAAAATTTATCAAACCCACTGCCGTATGAAAACAAGCTCACAATATTCAATGACTTGCTACAGAGCGACCCCGACAGTGCGCGTCTTATGCGCTTTAAAGCCGATCCACCGACAACTACTTTGCAACGTCTTAAAGGACTCACAACCGGTAGCTTGCCAACATTTGTTGATATGGGCTCGAACTTCGCCTCGCCAGAGATAAACGAAGACAATATTATTGATCAAATAGTGCAACACGGACTACCTGTAGTATTTTTGGGAGATAGCACCTGGACAGACTTGTATCCGAGAAGATTTAAGCGCAGTTATTCCTATCCCAGTTTTGATATTTTCGATTTAGATACAGTTGATAATAAAATTCAGCAGAATTTGCCGAAAGAATTGGCTAAGAACGATTGGCAGGTGTTGATTGCACATTTCTTAGGAGTTGATCACTGCGGCCACAAACATGGACCTTTACATGAAGAAATGGAACGTAAACTTAATGAAATGAATGAGGTCATCAAGTATGTACATACATACATACAATACACACATATAAAATCTTTTTAAAAAAAAAAAAATTTTTTTTTCAGATTTGTTGCAGCTAAAATGGACAGCGGTACAACTTTGCTTGTAATGGGTGATCATGGAATGACGGCATCCGGTGATCATGGCGGTGAAACTGAAGATGAAACCACTGCATTAATATTCGCCTACACTAAGGTTAATAAATTTGTCGGCAGCGAATTTGGTTCGGATAACACAACAATGCAACAGGTATGTATGTATATTTGTATAAAATACATAAAGTATTCAGCAAATTTTTAAGAGGTATATGATCTTATCTAGATGTAGCATTGCGCCAAAATTCTTATCTTTCCACAGTGTATACATTCATGTTTATGTTATTCATGCACATATCTGTTCACATATATAAATATATGAAAGTAGACGTTTTTAACTGTATTACATGGTTAAAATACACGTCATTTTGTGCCACTGCGCTTAATTAAAGCTAATTATCAAACTTTCGTCACTTATCTTAAAAAATGTGTGCACAGCAAAGTCTCTTAGCATCAATTGAAAAAGTTTTTATTAACACTGTTGCTTAAATAAATACATATGGCCTACATTTAAATTGATCTCTGTTCTTTGACAGCGAAATCGAGAATTGCGTTGAGCAATTGATAATTTCAATAAAAAGTCTCTTATATTTAGTTAATTTTTTATTTAAGCTCTTCTGTGAATATAACTACATCTAAATAGATTTACCATTCTTATCTCTTTTTTCCTGTTCTCTCACTTTCCAGATCGACCTAGTGCCCACCTTAGCCACCATACTGGGCGTTCCCATACCTTATTCGAATTTAGGTATTATTAATTTTAATCTTGTACCTGATGTTAAAGTACCGTATATGGCGAAGTTCCAGGCTCTACTGTTGCACGCATGGCAAAACGCACACCAAATGTATTTGTACTTTTTCAATTATGCCTTGGAGAACAAACGTACCTTTAGCGTTGATGAGTTGGATAATATGCATAACGAATACATCTTATTTACACATCGTGTGAAAACCGTGTACAATGAGTTGGCCTTCAAGTCAGTTGTGCGTGATTTAAATGCCAATATGCGTCTCATACTGAATACTTGCCGTGAAATTTGGGTGAAATTCGACGCTGTGCAGATGTCACAGGGACTTCTATTCACATTGTTACCGATATTCTTTGCCTTCATGTTAATCAACAACTTAAATGCCCTAGAGCTATATCACACGTTCACGCTGAGAGGTATCGGCTACACGTATCTTATTAATATTGCGGCGGGTTTCTTTGGTTATCGCTATTTTAAAAGTTTCTCTTTCAAATCGGAGGAACATGGCGTGATTTTCTCAACGCACCTCATCAGCACATTGGTGTTAATCTTTCACACATTACAAAATTGGCGTACCATTGCAAGCAATTCGTCAGCCGTAAGACGTTTTGGCAATATGCCAACACGTGTTATATTCATTATCACCATTAGTGTATTCTTCTCCAATAGCTTTGTGATAGAGGAACCGAAAATACTCTCATATCTACTGGTCGCATGCATATTGCTGTTATCGTATGAAGTGCTCCAGAAATGTTTACGCAGCGAGTTTAATAAACGCTTAAAATGGTCACAATTGCTACGCTCCATTACCTTACGTCTGCTGTTGTTCAGCGTGTTGGCCATTATTTTCGTACGCTACACATACACGCTGTTCCGTTGCCGTGAGGAGCAGGGCAACTGTGCTGACTTTTCGAATAATAATGCTGGTGGTTTCTCACTCAAGCGGCCCGCCAGCGGCAAAACCTATATATCAGCTGTGGTCATTATAGTGCTGTACTCAACACTCTGCCGTCTATATCTGCGGCACAGTGGTAGTTTAACTGGCGGCTCGCCGAATGTGTGGCTCGCACGTTATGGTCCTACAATCGCTTCGATTTGTGCTGGTGGACATCTGCTGCTGGCGCATAGTGCGGTCAAGAATGTCAAGCGTGCACACATCGATGCCATGGCACTGGTAATATATGGACTTATGCTTGTACAAATTGTTGTGGTCTGCGTTTCGCCGTTGCTGACTTTCTATGTGCTGCCTAGCTTTACTATGCCCATACAAATTAAGCCGTGGGACAACATCGTGCCGCAAATTTTCAAGAAAATCAAGCGCATGTACGATGACGCAGAATCACGGATGAATCAAATGGATGTGATGGTCTATGGCCTGACCACGGTGTATTCTTCGGCAACTATTGTGTTTGGCTTGTTCCTGAGTATGGTTCTGATTGTACTGCTCGAAGCACACGCAACTATTGGCATGATTTCCTGTGTAGCTATCGCGGTGGTCATTATTTTGGTGCATTCAACCTTGCGTTACCGTACCGCTGAAAATTTTGGTGGGTAACTTGAAAAAATATTGATGATTTAAAACATAAAATGTACTTATATTTTAGAAAATTGCATACAACCCACCTTTACCGGCATCATCAGTTGGTTTTTACTAGCGCACTTTTGCTTCTTCGCCACATCGCATCAAACTACACTCTCGCAAATAGATTGGCGCGCCGCTTTCGTTGGTCGCACAAGCGGTTTGGGGAACTCGCATTTGATTTCTGGTACACTCGTTATACTCAACACGTTCTGTGGACAGGTTTTCTTTTTCTCGATGTACAACCTACTCAGCGTATCCACGTTTGCTCTCTGCGCGCTTTTTCCGAAACTCATAAAAAGTACGAGTGCTAACGGCAACACTACAAATGGCAGCAATGCGAACGCTTTGAACGAGGGTATTGGTGTTGATATGATGCGTGGTGAATTTGTGCTTTTCGAAAATGAAGGCACCTTCCTGGCCGGCTCGTTTAAGCTCGCTGTACAGTTTCTCATACTGCAAGGCGTTAAGGTACGTTTTTGGAGTATAATTTGCCTATATATATATATATATGCGTACAACATATTTGATTTCAGGTATTCTGCGCCATGATTGCATGCACTATACACTGTCGTCATTTGATGGTTTGGAAGATCTTTGCGCCGCGTTTCATTTACGAAGGCATTGGCACATTTGTTAGCCTGACAGCTCTGGTTGTAGGCTATTTTGTTATATTGCGGATTAATCGCGCTTTGGACCGTTTAATTTTCAAAACGAATAAATTGAAATTGGAGTAGTTTAAATATTTCGTTCAATATTTAGGCTCCAGAGTAGAATTTTGATTGTAGATACTCGTGTTATGATTTTATGTCTGCTGTGTGTACAGCAGTCTCGCTTTAGTCAGTGTTTTACAAACATAATTTATTCGTGTTGTTTAAGTTGTTTATGTACTATGTTATATGTTTCAAAATAGTATTGACATGTTGTCTGAAAATAATTTATTTTAAATGAATCTACCATACTGCATTTGATATTTCAATAAACGAATTTTAATTGAAATTTAAAATTGATATTAATATTTTTTTTTTTTTTTTTTTTGGAAATTACGGGTAAAGGTAAAATGTAATGGAATCAGTGTACTGAAACTTGAGATTAAACATCTGGAGCAATGGCGAGCTTAGAGATGAAGCTACCGTACAGATTTTGGGTATATGTTGTTGCTATTGTAGCCGCTAAAATATTACCCAAAGCAGTTTTTGGGCTAATGTTGAGTAAGTAAAAAAACCTCTGGCCGAATGAAAATTCCGGCGGTTCCGGTATAAAGTCTCGACTGTCGCGGGAACAATTGGCTTTAAGTGGCCTCTTTAGCTCCTATCTTGGCTTATCATATGCTCCGGCAACCCCTTCGTAAATCATATAAATCATATGTTCCGGTAACCCCTTTTATTACCATTCAGTATTTGGTCGTAGGACGTTTAAGCTATTTATTATTTCGGTAGTGCTCATCGGGCGACGTGACCTTTATTCAAATCAACTCTCACGACAGCCGGTTCTACGCACCGGAGTTGACCCGGATTTTATCCGGCCAAGGGCTGTCACCCTTTCGGAGACCTAACCCCGTTTAGGTCTACAGGTAACCTTAGTCTAAGTACGTCAACGGAGCAACACCTCGCAGCTGGGTTGCTCCAAATCCTTCTGATCAGGGCTGGTGTAGAAACCAACCCTGGACCGACGGATTACTTCTGCTGCGTGTGTCAAAGAAGACTCCACCATTCATCCACCTCGGTTAGATGCACCCAGTGCAATGGCTGGAGTCATCTTAAGACCTGCTCAGGCCTTAAGACCCACAGGGAATGGACCACAAGTTATGTGGCCCCATGCTGCCAGCGTCCAACCGCCCCCTCAGCCTCCACGGCAGTGCCTTCAGCACACATACCCACTCTGGGTAATCTGCAGACCTCCACGGTCTTACGGAGCTCCCCGCAGCATGATTCCCCCCAACCTCCACCCCCATCCCCACCCACAACCAGCTCCTCATCCTCCTCCCGTGCGAGGGCTACCCAGCAGCTCCTAGTCCCCCGCACTGTCTGTTCCGTGTGTCAGACCATAGTGCGTCGGAACGTGACCTCAGTCAAATGCAATTTCTGCTCTGGCTGGTGTCACTTTCGGACATGCTCTGGCCTGCGCACCACCCGTGAGTGGAGCGATGCGTACGTTGCCCCTTGCTGTAGGAGTCTGCCCCCGCATATCTCTACAAACCCTCCGCCAATTAACACCAACGTGCGGAACCAACTCCCGCGGGTAGTACAGCAGCAACACACATCATCCACGCATCACTCCCTCACTCCCCGTATCACGAACGTTCCCCCGAGACAGACCCGACTTCTACAATTTAACTGCAACGGACTCCAGGGAAAGATTGACGAGATAGTCGACTACATGAGCCGGGAGCACCTGCCAATTGCTGCGATCCAGGAAACCAAGTTGACCGCCCGATCAGATCTTCTGAACAGGGCCGGATACAACATAATCCGCAAGGATCGCGAGCGAGACCATGGCGGGGGTTTAGCGTTCATCCTGCACAACACCGTGCAGTATCGTCTTATCGATGGCGACATCGACCGCAGGGATACTACCCTAGAATGTCAGGGCATAGCTATCCGGTCAGGCGATGTCGAGCTCGAAATATTTAATATATACATCCCTCCAGTTACAAGTTGCCCAGCTGGATACACCCCTGACATAGGTGCGCTACTCAGGGGCGAAAACCGCTTGGTTTTGGGCGACTTTAACGCGCATCACGATCTTTGGCATTCTAGCCTGTCAAATGACCGTAGAGGAATGGAGCTGGCTGAACAGATAGACGATTCGACATTCTGCACAATGAACGATAACACCCCCACCAGAGTTATGGGTAATTGCCAAAGCTCGCCAGACATAACAATTGCGAGTGCTGGTCTGATAAACAGTATAGTCTGGCGACCTATACTGACGTTAGCATCGGACCACTTGCCCATACACATCTCGATTGACAGGCCTCCCGACTTTGTTTCCGCGGACCACCGGACTTTCGTTAACTTTAAAAAAGCTAATTGGCCCGGATTCACGGAATTTACCGAGAACGCCTTTAGTGCCCTTCCCACTCCAACTGACGTCACCGCTGGTGAACGCTCATTCCGCAGGGTCGTCGTGACCGCTGCCGCCCGCTTCATCCCGGCAGGCCGAATTGCGGAAATCCGCCCTAACTTTCCGACAGAAGCGGCGGTACTAGCAACCAGGCGCGACACCCTTCGAAGCTCCGATCCCGGGAATCCCCTAATCAGGGATTTAAACGCGGAGATTCGACGAGTCGTAAACAATCATAAGCGGAAAAGGTGGGAGGAGCACCTAAGGACCTGCAACCTCTCCTCTGGGGCAACCAAGCTCTGGGCCACAGTCAAGTCGCTGTCTAACCCGACGAGACGCGATGACCGGGTGGAAATTTCATTCGGTGATCGCGCCTCGTCGGACCCGAAGAGATGCGCGAGCTATTTTAGCCGTCTTTTTACACTGCATCCCTCGGTAGATAAAGCGAAACGACGTGTGACCCGCCGTATGCGCAAACTGCCAAACACCAGCGCGGTGCTTGATTTCTCCAGGGAGGAGGTTCAGGGGGTCATCGGGAAGGCGAAAGCCTCCAAATCCATCGGCCCCGACGGAATAAGCATGCTGATGCTGAAACATCTTGGACCAGCGGGAGCAGAATTTCTCGCGAGGGTCCTCAATCTGTCCTTGACCACCCTAAAGATACCCGACGTGTGGAAAATGGGTAGGGTGGTCCCGCTACTAAAACCGGGGAAACCAGCCAACAAAGGAGAGTCTTATCGGCCGATAACTCTCCTCTCCCCAGTAGCGAAGACGCTTGAGGCCTTACTGCTCCCGACCTTCACTCACCATCTGCGTCCAGCAGCGCATCAGCATGGCTTCCGAAAAGTGCACAGCACCACAACAGCACTTAACGCCATAAACACCCAGATAGTCCATGGCCTCAACCAAAACCGACCCTGCGCGCGAACTGTCCTAGTAGCACTGGACCTGTCAAAAGCCTTTGACACAGTAAACCATTCAGTGCTACTAACGGACATTGAGGAATCCTCATTACCGCCGGGGTTGCAGAGGTGGGTCATGGGCTACCTGAGTGGTCGACAATCATCGGTAATATTCCGAGGTAAAACATCTAAACCCAGAAAAATTAAACAGGGGGTTCCGCAGGGTGGTGTCCTCTCCCCGCTACTGTTTAATTTTTACATATCGAAACTCCCTCCACCACCAGAAGGAGTTTCCCTAACCTCGTATGCCGATGACTGTACGATAATGGCGTCTGGCCAGGATATTGATGACCTCTGCTCGAAAGTAAACGGCTACCTCGCTGATCTCTCCCACTTCTTCACTGCAAGACAACTACGAATCCAACCGACAAAATCCTCGGCTACCCTTTTCACCAGCTGGACGAAGGAGTACAGGCTTGAACTAGATGTAAAGGTCGATGACGAAAAAATTCCGACGATAAATAACCCAAAAATATTGGGAGTAACTCTGGACAGCCTGCACTCCTTCACTCCGCATACGACCGCAATTGCCGCAAAACTCCAGAGCCGCAACAAAATACTCAAAGCGCTAGCCGGCAGCACCTGGGGTAAAGATAAAGAAACTTTGCTGGCTACTTACAAAGCAATTGGCCGGCCGGTCGTAAACTATGCTGCTCCGATCTGGACGCCGGGGACGAACGGGACGCAGATGAAGAAGCTACAGGCTTGCCAAAACACCGCCCTTAGGACTGCGACAGGAAACCTCCTGATGTCGCCGGAGCATCACTTGCACAGGGAAGCATCTATGCTACGAGTTAAGGAGCATAATGCTTTGCTGTGCAAGCAGTTCCTACTGGGATGCTACCGCAGGGAGCACCCCAGTAGGCACTTAATAGAAGCTGAACCTCCACCTAGGCACATCAGGAAGGGAGTACTAGACCTCAAAGACACGATCCAGCAACACACACAACAACCGCTGGACAGGACGGCGTATCGACAGGCACTGAACGCCATTCACCAGGAGTCAGTTAACACCTTCATGAACTCCCTTCCAGTGAATGGCGTACTCGGAGAAATACCACCACCCATAGCAGACAACGAGCTCGAGCTGCCTCGAGAGACCCGCGTGACCCTGACACAACTTAGGTCTGGATATTGTAGTAGGTTAAACTCCTACCTATCCAGACTAGACCCCAGCATACCTAACGTATGCCCGGCATGTGGAGAGTCCCCGCACGACACTAACCACCTCTTCACATGCCCCCTCAAACCTACTCATCTAACACCCCTCTCCCTTTGGTCCAACCCCGTCGAAACAGCTCGTTTCCTGGGCCTACCCTTAGATGACCTCGACGACTTAGACTAACTCAAGCCTGTGCCTAAGCGGGGTTAGCGAATCCGCTACAACAACAACAACAACCTTTATTCAAATCTCACGTTCTTACTTCTCTGTCAAAATGTGCTCCGGATACGATTACTAACAGACTTTTACGTCTTCTCTATCATATCATGATACATGTTTTTGCTGTTGTCGTTTTAGTAGCTAATTGTTGAGGTGTGTCGTAGTCGTTACTGCTCGACTTAATGTTCTGGACTTTTGCATTGCAAACGATCTTTAATGGATGATTTCTTCAGTGACTGCATTTCATTATTTTTCTCATTTGTCCAATAACTCTGAAAGGCAGGAAGGTTTAAAATAATTTTTAAAATATGAAAATCCACTCTAATATCGCAAGTGTTCTTTACCTTTACCTTGACGCCTCCCAGACAAAATTCCTTAGATTGTTTAATGCGATGAGAGGTTAGCTTAAACTTGAAGCTATTGAAGGGAAATTTTTTCTTCCCATTGCTACAACGTGTGGTTTTCGTTTTAAAAGTAGCCCTCGGTAACCCAAAAAAAAGGGAAGCAAGCCATCGTACTCTTCGCTTATAATGAGGTGCAGTCTTTTACTTGTATTCACATAAATTTTTCATATTCAAATTGAATTAAAACTTCTTATTTCAGCCGTATTTAGGATATTTAGAAACGTTGTTACTGAGAAAATAATCAACTTTATTGCGATGCAAAAATATAATTATGTCTTTAATTAAAAGGCATACTTTAGACAATACACAATTTCCGTAACGCTTACAACAAAGAAATGCAAATTTAAATAAATTTCCCCGTTAATTTGAGTAGAATCTATAATGATGTGCTGAGGATTGCATTATTCGAATATAATAAAATCGTAATATGTACAATGTCAGATATACATATATGTATATATGTATATGGATATAACTAAAATTGAATATATAATTATATATATATATATATTGTCGTTAATTATGTGTATTAGTATGTATGTAGTGTATTACTTATATAAAAAGTCCTTGCGTGTAATAATACCAACAACACGATTCTCTCGATTAATAACAATCATATGACGCAACCCCAGAGCACGAAACTTTTTGAATATCTTTGATGCTGAATCACACTAAATTAAAAAAAAAATAATTATACATCTTTGCAATATATTGAAAAGCTACAAGTGAATTTACCTCGCTAACACGCACTGGCGATGGGTTCATGAAAATTTCCAAATTTACTGTGTAATTTTGTTTTTCATTTGGCAAACGGACGCTCTGAAATATAATTTTATAAAATTTTAGTAACCTTGATAATTTAACGTACATTGAAAGATACTAACATCTATTGAAGGATATCGTGGATAAACATTTCTAAATGTTTCTATAGAAATCTCTTTCTCCCAAAATCGTTTCTTTTCCTCATAAAGAGCATTGAGTAAAATAACAATAAGCTGCGAACGCAAAACAATGCCGCAAACACGTCCATTTTCACGATTATTCTGAGGGTAAGAAAATTAATAATGAAAAATTCGATATCTACGATATACATACATATACATATGTATATAAATAATTACTAATTACTTATACTTACACCCTCAACATCTTCTACAACTGGAAAACCGTTGTGTTTGCAACGACGCAGTATCTTATATATATACTTGGCACTATCGATTTTCTTAATACAAATTACAGGCGAACTCATCAATTGTGATGCTTTGTGCCCTTTATATTTCGGTAGCAGCTCCCATGGTAGTACAGGCACACAACTCATTTTAATTTGTATGTCATAGATACCCTAAAAATTTAAATTTGAGTGAAAAAAATAAATATAAATATATATATTAAAAAAAAAAAAAACCCCTGCACACTGACCTCTGTAAAGTAGTCCCCAACCCACTTGGCACTGATGAGCGTCACAATTAAAGGAAAGAAGAATGATGTTTCAGCGCCGGTAGTCTCCATAAGTATGACCGAAAGACTAATGGTCATACGTAGTACACCGCCTAAATTCGCTGCTGCGCCGATTAAGGCATATTTTCCAGGATTTAAAAAAGTCTAAGTAAAAATCAAAAAAATTGTTTTACAAAAGTTTCCATCTAAAAAAAAAAGGAAATTGCTTACTGCTTCAGGGAAAATATAAAAAATGATCATAGCCACTAAGCGGCCCCATGCAGCGCCAACCAAACCAGTTGGTATGAATATGCCCAGCGAAACATTTAAGCCGAAGGTAATACAGGCCAAAAAGAAGTAAACCAGTGTGAATACTGTTAGCGTTAGGATTTTGTGTGAACCTGTTAGCAAGAAGATTTTATACATTTATAAAAGTGATAAGCATGTATGTATATATATTTTTTTTTACCTGGTGGATCATGAAATAGCGAGCGTACAGTTGCCTCTGGTGTCTGAAACCACAGCGCTGCCATAGCATTATACTCATTATCCTCACAAAATAGCTGTAAAAGAAACGCAAGCAGTTGTATAAAAATATATATAATATATGTATAACATTTACTAAGCGCACACTACCTGCACTGGATAGTCGGTGGGATCATTTCCCAATGGACGGCAATCATTTATAAAAAATATCATAATACAAGCCAAAGTTACGCCGATTATGGCCACCAACGCAGCCTCTATTATGCGTGCAAATTTGAATTTAACAAAGCGTGCGCGGAAACGATTGATATGTGTATTATATGAATTCCACATGGCACCCAATAGCCCGCCGGTCACACCGAACAACATGAATATGGGCAATTCGAAGTATTCAAACTTTAACGGTTGCTCGAATTTGCCCAAATTAAAAAGACCAGTAAAGGTGAAATTATGTAAGCCATGATAGGCAGATAGTACTATGTTAAGTGTAAATGAACTTATAATGGACGCGACCAGCGTACGCCAAATAAGATTTTGATTCCAAAAACTGGCTGCTTCCTCCAATGAGAACAACATACCACCGATTGGTGAACCAAAAGCGGCTGCAACACCTGCTGCAGCGCCGCCCAATACAAAATCACGTTTCTCGTGATCATCACGAAAAGCGCGGAACACACGGAAATCCTTAACAAATGTTGTGCTTTTGCCTTGAGAAATGCCAGCAGCAACTACAGCGCCAGCGTGCGCCATCGGTCCTTCCTAAAAATTACGAGTAATAATAATTAAAATAATGACCACATTTATGATATAATAAGTCAACTGAAGCTACATACTTTTCCACCAACTAAGCCGCCCACCACAGCTGTGACTACACCAACAGCTTTTACCGCAAGAGTTTTTATCCGAACGATACGCGGTATTTTTACGCCATTAAGATAACTTTTAACTTGTGGCATGCCACTGCCTGCAGTGATTGGCTCCACATAAGTCACCAGTGCTGCACCCAATATGACGGGTATTATACTCATGAGAATCCAATAAAGGTATGGTATAACTAAATTGCCGTTGGGATTCAAATTAACCGCTACATTATTGTCAACAGCTGAAATAATAAAAGCGTTAGCTTTATATCTGCTGTTTTGCAATGTATTAGTAAACATTTTAAAATAATCAAAAATCGTTGCTTACAGTCCTTGAGAAATGTATATTTTACTGCAGATAATTCCTCGATAGGTATATCAATAACACAGGCGATGAGCGCAGTTACGACGCCGATTTGTATAAATATTATCCAACGCAAAATATCTTTTTTTATGTTAAAACGTGCATTGTCAGTACGTTTTTGTTCTTCTTTGAATAGAACATTATCACACACATCATAATCCAAGCTCTGAAAAAAAGTTTGTTTATAAAATATATAAAAATAAAATCAAATGATAGAATAATAACAAAACATACCTCATACACATCGTCTTTAAGCGCTGCAGTGTTAATTGCAGCTGAGCGAGAACGTAAATAAAAAGTTGGATGGTTCCTACCCTCGGGGTTTTCTAGTAATGCATTTGCTGAACGTACACTTGTATTTTCCGACGCAACTAACGTGCTACTGGAACCTGCTTGCTGTGGTTGGGGGTTGTTCTGTGTTGTGTTTGTTGTTAACACACCAAGTAAAAGTTTTAGTATACGTATTATAAATTTAAATGTATTGCACTTAAAAAGGTGATAAGGCAAATGAGAATGACTCATTACAAATGCATTTCTAGTTTCTAAATGATTTGCAGCAGAAATAAAAAATTCGGTTACTCTTGGCTGGGCATGCTGAAAAGTAAACTTACAGTGGAACAACTTGGTTCGAAATCACTTGGACTAAGCGCTGGCGGCTCATCGTCGTCGCTAATCTCTGACTCTTTTGGATTTTGCAGTGGAACAAAGGAACTAGCCGCAAATATCGGTTTGGAACTTTCTTTTCTTTTTGTTTTATGTACTATATTGTTATCCTCATCATCACTGCTACTGATATCTATCAGGCATTCCGCATCATCTATCTTTTTCATTGTTAAGTAATTTTAATAACTTTTGAAAGTAATACAAAAACCGTGCAAGCCTTTGCCAAACACATAAAGCAATAAACTAAGAAAATACAAGAAGTGATAAAATAAACAAATATGTAAATATATGCAGGGTTGCAATTTTAGCAAGAAAACATTTACGGCTTTGTAGGATGTAACACTTTCGACAGCACAAATTGTAAGTTGTAACATTTTGAAGATAATTTATCTGCAGCTTGTTAACAAATTATTTCACCAAAGTGCTTTTAAAGAGGAATTTCATGAAATTACATTATATTTTTTATTGATATATTATTTAATAACTGCCATATACCCGCCTGACCGCAACTAATGTTGAAAAGCAATGCCACTACCAGTTATATTGTCTAACCACCCTGTAAAAAACAAAACATTGGCTAGGGCGGCTGTTTACTCAATATCAAATTTATAACAAATAAGGGAAACCCCCTCCACAAATTTGTGAGTGGGAAGAACACCTGCCGAAGCGAAAAAGTGAATTTTGTAAATGAGCGGATGCGGATGTGTAGTAAATGTGAAGTAAAATTTTGTAGAGAATATTGAACTGATCGGAGAAAGGGTTAGATAATAATCTTAAATTAAACAAACAAAAATTACATAAAAATTAGTAAAACACCAAAATGATTTTCATAAAATATACATATGTATGTCTGCGTTTATTTTTAGGCCATTTAAATAGGAATCATGTTTCGCTTATATTAAGATATCTTTAATTCATTTATGTAAATTGTAGCGTCTCACATGACGCATACATTACAACTCATAATATTAAAATAAAAAACATTGTAATATAAAGAGTATGTAAATGCTCCTTGGAAATATGAATAAATACATATTTATATAATATTACAATAAAATAGTGTATACTCGTAGTAAAGAGGAACTATGCGTTTATTATTAGAGACCAACGTTTCTTCGGAGGATGATTCCAAAGATAGTAAGTCGTCTTTGATTGCAACATTATTGATTTCGCTGACTAGACCATAAGTTTAGCGGCAACTACAATTAATTTACTCGTAACCTTTTAATGGATAACCATTATTAAATCCATCCATCGAGTTGATGTTTATATTTTCAATTGCACAATAATCATTCCCACCTCCTCTAAGGCAAGTAGTATAACTGAAAATCAAGTTAAAATGTTAGAAGTTTATTGTTATTCGTTTATAAAAATTTGTATAATTCATAATAATATTGCCATAAACATACATATTAGAAAAATACTCCGAAAATGAGGGCAATCTATTTGAACCTGTGTTGCCAATGTTATCGTCATTCTCCTTTCCTTTCATATCCAAATCGTGGTAGTAGTTATCATCTTCAATGTATAGAAAGTCTTCGAGAGAAACAGAAGGTGGACGGGGTGTAGAGTTGTTTGCTTCCGTTGGGGTGATTTGAACATTACAATTGAGAGACGGCGGTTCGTATGCAAATTCTTTGTTGCAGTATCCGAATATATCCTCCTCTGCGGCGCTTATTTCCTCATCTGTAAGTGTCTTATTGCTGTCGTTGCCATTGTCGTTGTCGTTGTCGTTGTCGTTGTCACTTTGGTTTGGAGCAGAATCATCAAAGCGCCAGCCATCGCCATCAACCACATAGCCCAGACGTTGTAAGTAATCGGCAACGGTTTTTTCCGATAGATTAATTATATCCGAAATTTTTTTAGTAGTAAAACGCGGATTTCTTTCAATTAACATTTTCACCTTATCACAATCTGCAACACCTGGACGTCCAGTGCGTTGACCGTCAACACAACTGGTATCGCCCTTTCGAAATTTTGAAAACCATATTTGCACTACACGCTCACTAACAGCATCATTACCGTAAACTGCACAAATTTTACGTTTCGTTTCGGTAGCTGTTTTATTTTTACGAAAGTAGAAAAGCATTAAACAACGTAAATACTCCTTCTTCTTTTCCATATTTTTAATTATTTTTTTTAATAATAATTTCAGCAATAAAAAATGGCAAATGACAATTTTTTAATGGGAGTATATTTGTGGCTTAGATGAAGTACGCCAAACAACTGATTCAAAAAATTAAGATTTCCTTCTTTCTTGCTCGCTCGTTTCTCGATATCATTGTAATTAATAAAAAAGCGAGATTACTTTTTTCTACCCTTATCTACATACATAATTCCGGCTGAGTTTATGTTTAGAGTTCACGAGCACGTACCTGCTTTTGTGTCTCTTTTTTAAATCATAAACAATACCCATGTGGTAAGATTGTGTAAAACGCGACTATGGAAGGGGTAGGTAGTTAGCCATGCATGCATGCACGTTGGCTAGAGGTATGCGGTATGGCGGGCTAACTGCCTGGGTGACACGACAGGCAGGGGTACAATTATGAATGTAAAAAACACCCTTGCGAGAGATGAGAGCAATTTTTTGTATTTATGCATGAGGGTTCGTCTTGGGTGAAAGTTATGGAAACAACCCTGAGTTGATAAGCGGTGGTGACTTACACAGAATCCGCGAGTGTAGATGAGTATAAAAAATGCTAAAATCCTCGCGATAATTAATTTCTTTTCAATGCTTTGAAATGAAAATTTTGATGTATTCAATATTTTGAATATGTACATACGAATGTACGAGCCCGTGTGTATGTATACATAAAAAAGAACAATCGGATACAGACAAATGAATGAATTTTAATGAAAAAATGGATATTAAAATTTTTTGGAATCTACGTAAATAAAAAGCTATACATTTTTTTTAATACTGTATGCATATTAGTAAAAAAAAAGCACGAGCAGAGCACACTTCATATTATGTACTACTATAAAAAAGGAAATATTTGAAAATAGTTGTTGTTATTCGATATTAATTTAAGTTAGTAATTTTCGTAGTTGAAATTATTAAGAAACATTAAAAAAAAAAATAATAGCGGAAGTTTAATTCAGTATTTTTTAATTTGTATTTGGTTTAGTTGTTTGCTTACATTTATAAATCAAGGAAAGTTCTCACAGAATTATTATAGAAAGTTGTTCTAGGTCTTTAGACTGTACAAAGTTAAATATGTTTAATTTAAACAATTGATTTGCCTTTAAATCTTATTTAAAAAAAAAAAACAGTTTTTCCAACTTTTTCTCCTTATGATCTATATACATGAAAATAACCTTAGTTCACGAAGGCCGCTTTAATATTTCATAGATAAGCATTAGAAAATAATGCAAAAATAAAAAAAAAATATATCTTCAACCTAAAAATTTGCGTAAAACAGCGAACGTATGCACTGTGGTAATTCTTTAATTCTAATATTATTCTTAAAATGTAATGCTTTTGAAAGTCAATACTAAAAACTAATATATTACGCCTGCATATCTAACAAAAGTATTTAATACCAACAAAGAACTATATAAATGCTTAACTTAGGAGTAAAAAAAAAGAAACTTGTTATACATATATATTAGTAAATTACTATCCACACCTGGTAGATATATCTATGTACAGTTCACTTTGTGTGACTAGTATTGAAATTCGAAGTTGGGATGCAAAAACTTAAATTTCGCTATCTCCAAACAAAGCCAATTGTTATTAGTTTGATTGTGGGTTTGCAGTTCACGTTGTAAATTTTGTAACGTTATTGCAAGTTGGGAAATAACGTCTTCACATCTCGTACTCAAATTCATTTCACCCGTTGTATTAAAACTCGTTGTACCGCAAGATGTTTGTATATCTACGGCGGAACTAAAACCAGAAGAAGCTGATAAATCAGAAGAAGTTGGTTGTGCAGACAAATCAATTGGTTGGACCACTTCATTTAGTAAGAGCTCATTCTTGATAAAACCCATATGATTATAATTTAAATCATAAGACCTACTATTGAGACCTTGATTAGGCTCATAACTGCTCAAATCACTCGGACATGGAGTTATGGCGCTTATAGTAGTTGCACGACCGAGCACTGACTGCTCACTATTGTTGGCGAAGAGCGGTGGCACGTGCTCCTCATGTTGTTGAGTGAAATTATTTGCCAATATCTCGTCCGACGATTGTTGATTTGTTGTAATATAGTTCAAAACTTGATTATTGTTATTATTATATGTGGATATTAGCTGATAATCCGTTACTTGTTCATTTGCTCCTACCATTGTCAACTAGTTAAAAAATTACATGCGTTTTTTAGAACGAATGTATAGCTAAGCTTATTTGATACTCACTGGAACTTCATTTGTACCTAAATTTGCGTTTGTATGATGCTCATTCGTAATATGCTCATCGGCCCTCTCCGTATAGTTAATGTTAATAACGGTACTTTCAGCAGCATTATATTGCTTGAGACTAAAATCGAGTGGTTGCTCATTAAAGACTTCCATTAGTGTTATATCTTGTGCTCTCTGCAGACCGGGTGTAACCAAAAAGTGATCGATCAAATTCCACTGAAAGTGTGAGAGTAAAAAGATGTATTTTTATCATAAAGTACAGCGAGATGGAAAACAACAATAACAACAACAATGTTATCATTAAAAATAAGCAAATACTAGCGAAGCGCAGAGATATTTTAACGGTTTGCAATAATATGTTTTATATTATTAGCTATAGTGGGTACTGTCTAAGTAGTTCGTATGCATATAAGAGTTACATGCATACATATGTATATATTTATACATACATATATAGTTGGCGTATTGTAACCCCTGAAGCGATTTTTCTGCCGAGCTCCTCCTCCAATTTGAGGTTTTGCGTCTTGATGTGTTCTACAGTTTATACTAAGCCGCCTCCAAACGGCTGATGTTTTTTCATGAGGAGCCTTTATTTGATGTCAGGAATACACTCGGAGGGATTGATATCCCGAGGGGCGACCGCAATTAGAAAATTTTTCTTAACTTTTTATTTAAACTAATTTTCTATAATATTCGTATGTTGGTCGCACGGGGACTTGAACCCGAGCCTTCCGAATGACAGTACGCAATGCTAAAAACTCGTCTACCGCGGCCGCCATTAATGGTAAATATTTGCTAATACGTTGCCCCAGCAAAATTTTAATTATTGAATTAATATTTAGAAACATTTTTTTCAATTAAAATAATATCAAGGTGGTATTTAGTTAGTGAAAATAATTTTTTTTTTAATTTTAATAAGAAGCAAATTTCTAACCTTATTCAAAATACCAGAGTTTTGCTCAGTTTTCTTTTGTTTTCGTTTATGATTTTCTTGTTGATGTCGATTTTGTTGTTTTTGTAGCTGATGGCGTTGAAAAGCAGCTTTGATCTTAAACAGCTCTGAAGTTGGTTGCGTTGAGCATGTTAGGCGTTGACCACTACGTGATTTTCTATTCCCATTGGCGTGGACACCGCGACGGCGAGTGGTTTTCCGATTACGTAGAAAGCGATCTCGTCTCTCTACCAAGGCATTTACCTTCATATCATATATTTTTCCCATTAAATCCGGATGTCGGCGCTAATGTAGTTTGAATTTATTTTATTATAAGTATTTAAGCAAACGGGAGGGTATTTTTCAGCAGCGATATTTGTATAAAAGATTTACTATTTTTACCTTTATATGCATATGGAAATTGCCTGTAGATCTTACGCTACCACGATAAACACGATCTGGTGGACAATTGCAACATTTTACCGTTACATTCTCGCCGTCCTGTGTCTGTATTTCAAAGAGCTCACCATTAAGTATATAAGGAATATGCACATTTCGTGAATTGGAGTCTGGTGCTATTGTACTGTTGTTGTTGGTGTAGCGATTCGATATTATACTAGTTGTGGGCAGTGCAGTATCTGCAACAACTCTTGGTTTACTTTCCAAGAAATTATCCAAAAGCGCATCATTGGCTATTTCTAAAGCATGTCCAACAGTGTTTGGCGTATTTTGTAAGTCAGGAGTTAGCTTATTCAGTTCCATTCCAAGTCTACCATAGAACCGTAACACGTCTTCACTATTGTTGTTGGAGTGAGTATTAATTCAAGGTGGTCAAAGCGATCTGCGCTAAACGAAAGTTACTTACGGAATGAAATTCAGGCTAAACTCCATGTTTTGCACTTTTTGACTTTGTTTTTTTGAGAATAATTGCATTTGGTTACTCCAACAAAAACTACACGCATTTTAATAAAAAGAACTGTTACAATTTTACGTGAGTCAGAAATTTACAACTTATTTTCTGTTCGAATCCGAAAGATAGTGTTTGCGACTTTATTGTACAAACGTGAATTTCATAAAACACCGATTATGTGAACCTCAAATTCTACCCACAAAATTAAAGATTTTCTCTTAAAAAGCTAAAATATACCGCGATTTCAATAAGACAGATTTAAAATAAACATTCGTTTAAGCTAGAAATGACACACAGTGTGGCCACTTGTTTATAAAGTTGAGGATTATTTTTGAGGTATTCTTGTGTTTGGATTTTCTTTCACTCAGCTGTTTGCTTGTTTACAATTTTGACATTTGTTTCAATGCAATGGAAAGCACGCGATTTCGAAGATTTCAATCTTTAAACGCCTAGTAAATAAACAAAAAAGTACGAATTTCACTACTTAAGAGTGAATATTAAATAGAAAATGACCTCAACAGATGAAAAAGTGGACGCCAAGCCCAATATATTAATTACTGGTATGTACGCAAAGTAGTAAAACAATAGTAATCACCCTAAGTATTGCACATGTGTCTGCTGTTGATTTTTATAATTTGTAATTCATTAAACAATATCAATATCTAGGTACACCTGGCGCGGGAAAGTCCTATTTATGCCAAAGGCTAGCGGATCAACTGAAACTAAATTGGTTGGATTGCTCCAAAATCGCCAAGGAGAATGATTTTGTTGAGGAGTATGATGATGAGTACGAGTGTCCTATATTAGACGAAGATAAGGTAAAGAAATTGACTATTTTTAGAAAATGATCTTAAAAATTAATATAAATTAATTTAATATTATTTTTTTGCTTACAGCTTATGGACTACATGGAACCGCTCATGCAACAAGGTGGTAATATAGTTGAATACCATGGCTGTGATTTCTTCCCAGAACGTTGGTTTCAAGCAGTTTTTGTGCTTACCTGCTCGAATACGCAGCTATTTGATCGCCTCAAGGAGCGTGGATATAATGAGAAAAAGTTGAAATCAAATCTTGAATGTGAAATATTCGGCACTGTGCTTGAAGAAGCACGTGAATCGTATAAACCAGATATTGTATTTGAATTAAAAGGTGATACTAAACTGGATGCGGAGGATAGCTGTAAGACTGTTAAGAACTGGTATAAGGCTTGGAAGCGGAAGTAATGTGTTATTGTTATTAACGAAAATTAAAACAAAGTTACTATATATGCACGCTAGTATAAACATAATTTCTTATTATGAAATAAAACATAATTTAAGAACACACCAAATCGCCTTGGAACACACTTTTATTTTTAATTTATATTTGTTTTTATTCAAAAGACAATTTGTGAATTCGCCTTGGTTTTTAGCATGACATAAAGAGGGAGGTAGTTTTGCTCAATATACAGTGGACACTTAAAAAAGGCTAAAAATTTGGAATTTTTTTTAATTATATTTTTTTAAACACATAAACATTTAAACCATTTATTAGCAAAAAGAAGTATTGTATTTATTATGTACAATATGCGCTATAAATTTCACAATTTGTAAAATGTAAATAATGTATTGTTACGATTTTACTAAATCAACCTCGATTATCTTCCTAAATCCTTCGGGTACCATCTCTGGATTGTTAAATAAAACTCGCCAACTTTATTTGCAGAATCTTTCGTTATAAAGATTTGATCTAATGTCCTTTATTTACTCCGTAATTCACAATTCAATTATAAGACACTTTACTAGCTACAATCACTTGCATCAACTTTCACAATTTACTCTACTTAAATGTAATTCCCAACGCGTTCACTTTACGACTTAACTGATGTTAACGCCAACGAGCTCACTTTGTAACTAACTTGACTTGCAGCTGAGTGTCGCCTTTATATAGCAGTCGGCTGCTCGCAGACGAAAGCGTAGAAGCATCGAATTGTTCGCTATGGAAGGTTCTTGTTTTATCGTTTCTAGAACGTACTAGTTATCGGCTTCTCTCTTTCATCTGACATTCGCCTCGCATTTTCGCAACAGTATTGTAAATGTATATGTAATTGAAATTTTCGTTTACCTTAAGATACTTCCCTAAGGGCCGTTTTCTCCATCGCCGGTTAAGCACTTAATCATAACTTAATCGGAAGGTAGGATCAGATTCGTTTTCACAATGTCCGGTTAAGGCGAATCTGTCAATCAATAACGCCAACATTGTGTGGCGATTAGCTCTTAACCAGAAGATAATTTGACTGATGCAAATAATAAAATAACAGTTGAAATAGTATTCCAGTCTTGGCTTTAAAATAAATTTAATTATGAAAAATATGCAATGCACTGCACATCTGGCTGCATTGGTTCAGAAGCGTTTTAAAAAGAAAAAGAAAGGTTTGTGAATATAGTGTGCTTTTAGTAAATAAATATTATTGATAATTTACTTGATTTTGCTGGAAAAAGCAGCAGAATTTCTGTTCTTAACATTATGCTTTTCTGCATCCAGAATTTGTTTTCTTGGTTTATGCGGAATAAAAGTGCCGACTGTCAGTCGAGTGGTAAATAGTGTCCACTGCTGTAGCTTCTCGTTCAATCCATCATCAGAATACCGAAAAAACAGGCTGTTTTCCTATAATCTACTATAATCTTGATGAAGTCGAAGTTCAAGTGCATGAAGCAGCAGTCATAAGCATACCTATACCCATCTGTATTTACATACATATATTCTGCGCATTTAATTTAACATCAATAAAAGCCTTTTCCTCGATAAAAATATATCAAATGAACTTCATTAAATTATAAATTTATTTACATTTATTATCCAAAAAAGAAATTAAGAAAAAAGAAACAAAAAGCCAAATTGTATGGAAAAAAGTAAACAAATACCAGATTTCTTGAAGTTTTTATTTATTCACAATGCAAATCGTTGTGAACTTGGCTTAAAATATTCACGATGATCAAACTAATCAGAAGTTCAGTGACCAGAGCTTGGTAAAAACGAAAATGCCACATCAGCCCATCTGGTGATTAGTTGTCCTCCAGTTAAAGACTAAGTTAACCGGACATTGTGAAATGGGGCCTTAAATTTTTTTAGAAAAAAATATGGCATGACCTATTTTAACTTTTCAACTATGAAAAATTAGCTTTTTATTGGGTCTTATCTATCTTAAAAGAAAATTATATTATTTTGATATATATGTACATGTCATATTGTATGCTTATATTAAAAGTTATTCCACCTTGGTCATTTTAAAGCGCAATGGACCATCCGGAGCATACATAAACGTCACGGCATAATCTAATGGCTTGTGATTGTATTCTAGCTTGTAATTACGGAGGAGCTATAAAGATAAAGAAGATAAACGCAATTGGAGTTTTATTCGTTTGAAGAATAACTGTGTACAAAATTGTGTAAAGGAATGCGACTTAATAAGGTTCTGTCAGGTTAGGTTCAAGCACAAGACAGCACAACGGAAGCCATCAAATATCGTGAGTAGGTATAAGATACTTGCATGCTGCGGCACACAAAGAGGTTTGCCGGGCAGAATCCTTGTGTTGTTGTGGTAGCGGTTGTTCTACACTGCTTAGGGACTGGCTACTTAGTGACCGTGGTCACCTAACGGGAAGTCCAAGAAATGAGCTGTTTCGATGGATTCGGTTTTAGGGGGCATATAAAAAGGTTGTCGTGTGGGGATTCATTATATGCCAGACATACGTTGGGTATATTGGGGTCAAGTTTGGATAAGTAGAAGTCTCCTGCTATCCACACCTAAGTATATTTAGTTGAGCAAGGATCACTCGGGTCTCAGGTGGTTGGAGCTTTTGATCTGATGATGGTTACAGTTTCGGGCCGAAAGTGCCAGTTGTTAGAATTTGCTCCATCCAGCCTAGGACCAATCGTTAGGCCATATAACGGGAAGTTTATTAAATGAGCTGTTTTGATAGACTCGGTTTGAATTCACACGGCCAGCCGGTTCACCGCATCAGAGATTTTTTTTGGCCAATGTCTGCATTTTTTCAACGATTTAACTCTGTTTAGATCATCAGGTAATTCTAGTCTAAGTGTATCAACGGAGCTACACCTTGTAGTAGGGTTTTTTCAAATCCCTCTCAACATGGTCTTCTTAATCTGTCATTTCTTTTGCGTATTTCAGAGAGGACTCCATTATTCTTCCATATCGGTTAGATGCAAACAGTGCAATGGTTGGAGTCATCTTTATATCTGTGGTGGTCTTAATACTTATAGGCGTTACGTTACGAATCTTCACTCAGGCACTTTAGGATGGGAGTACTTGCCTTAAATCCAGACAGGATGGCTTGCCGACAGCATTTAATGGGTCAATTAAGATCTCGATATTGTAGTCGAGTACTTAACCAGACTTCTCCCGACATACTCAATGTAGTTGATCCTGCAGACAGTAACTACCCGCACGACACTAACCACCTCTTTGCATGCGCCCTCTAACCCCCATTTGGCTTGAATCCTTCGAAACAGACCATGCCCTTGCTGAATTGCTCTTTGGACTGAGTACATACAACATTAGTTCACCGCCGGAGTCAATGTTGGTCTGCAGAAGAGTGTTTAAATTCAGTCTAGACGTATTCTCATTTACCTTGGCCAAGAGGATTTGCATTTCCAAATCCGCAAAACGTCTACCCAAACACATACGCGCACCATAACCATATGGTAGTGATGCGAAGGGATGTAGATGATCACCAGTGCCGCCCTGACTCGATTTTAACCAGCGTTCCGGTTTGAAAGTGGCCGAATCTGAAACAAACTCCTCCATTTGTCCTGTGACCAAGGTGGGGAAGACAGCTTGAACCTGAAAACCATGAACCATGAAAATTCAATACAGTTCAATTTAATAACTTCATTAACAACAACTTCGATCACTACTTACACCCTTCGGTATTCTGTATCCGCAAATTACCGTGTCTTCTTGCAAAGTTCGGCCATTACCAATTACTGTGCTGTACATGCGGAAGACCTCTTTTATGAAAGCTTTCAGGTAGTGCATCTGATCGAGGCGTTGTATAGAAAGTTCAGTCTCGGCATCGGGTAACACGCGTTTCAATTCGTTACGCACCTTCTGTTGCTCGGCAGGGCGCGTTGCGAGCTGATAGAGTATAGAACAAACTGCCATGGAAATCTAATAGAGAAAGATTTAGTTGCGTTATAAGACCAGTTAATTCATTGCATTACCGTGTCAATGCCAACTAAAATCAAATCCAAAGCCATAATGGTGGCTACTTTTTCATTATTCTCGGCGAGTATCACCTTTTCGAGCAGCGAAGGCTCGCTATCGCGACTTGGACCTTGCTGTTTCAGACGCTCCGTTGCATTACCAATGTATTTCATGCAAACTCTAATGAAATGAAAAATTTCAATAATACAAATAACAAAAATAAATAAGACAAGCCAGTTTACTCTACAAAGAAATTCATATTCTTAACGTAACGCGTCCATAGTGGCGTGGGAAAATAGCGCCAGTAGGGAGCCTTAAGCTCTAGTGTGGCGACATTTCGCAATGCATATTTGGCAGCGTCGATAATTTGTTGTGGTTCGGAGTCAGGCGAAAGATTAGGTTCCAAGCAGCCAAGCCGGGTGTCGAGCGCCACACGCCCAATACCTGAGGAAATGAATAAAAATTATGAAAAATTATAAATTTTTTATGGAAAACGCTTTGGCAAAAGTTGCTTGCTCACACTCCAGCGACCATTTGTGTATTTCATTATCAAAATCCTCAGGTAACTCAGAGTTCTCATCCAACAACTGCTCACAACGTTCCAAAAAATCGTTTGTGACCACCTCCAACGGCTTCAAGTAACGTCTGATCGTCGATAATTGCAGCACCGGCTTTTGTACGCGTGAACGAAACTGACGCCAAGGCTCGCCGTGTCTATAACGGAACAAAATCATTTATTTAATGTTGAACTTTATACATCTAAAGTATGTATGTATGTACGTACACGCCCACCACTCCACCGATATCCTCGAAGAAGTCCTTTCGAATTTCCCCTTTATACTTTACCAAGCTAGGCATTGACGGACGGAAAGGTGTTGCGCCCTCATTGCGATAACACTGCAAATAAAAGAATTAAAAATTTATGAAAACGGATTTTTTTTCAGATATTTATTCCATCATTTGTTTCATAATGGAGCCCCAATACAGTCGATCAATATTTTTTCAAAGGAGAATGGAAAGATCGCTTATCACCAATATTGATTTGCGTAAGCAAATTTCAGATCCACTGAAGTATTTAAATGTTTTTGCTTTGGTGGGCGATTGCTTCAGAGTTTTCTAAAAGGGTTGGCAAATGATAAAGGAGAGAGACTCCTCCTCAGCTCAGAGAGCTCAAAAGCTTCGCGAGGATGCAAAATTCAGACAAAACAGTATATCCTGTTGGTGCTATCGAAAACTGCTTTAAAATCGACGAAGAGCAGGGTGTGTTCATCCTTTTCTCAAAAGATTTATACGAGGTGTGTTCAAAAAGTATTGCGAATGTTGAATTTTCGCGGGTTACGTATAATCGAATTTCGATTTTGTTGTGGCGTTATGTTGGTACTAATGTCTGTCACTTATGCCGACAAGCTCGGCCATTTTGAATGTTCACTTAATTGTTGACAGCTGCTTTGCTTGCACGTGTTTTGGATGATCTTCGATTTTTAATTTTTAATGAAAGTTTTGCTGATAGTTTTCTTCGATTGCAGGGGCGTGGTGCATCATGAGTTCTTGCCACAGGGTAGAACGGTCAATAAGGAATATTACCGAAGCACTCCGCCAGACACGCCCGGATTTGTGGAAGAACAAAAATTGGCTCTTCATTGCTTGTGCGCGTTTTTTTGGCCAAAAACAACACACTGATAATGCCGCAGCCACCGTATTCCCCAGATCTGGCTCCCTGTGACTTTTTCTTGTTCCCTAAACTGAAAAGGCCCATGAAAGGACGACCTTACGCTACGATTGACGAGATTAAGACGGCATCGAAGGAGGAGCTGAATAAGATAAAAAAATGATTTTTTGTAGTGCTTCGAAGATTGGAAAAACCGGTAGCATAAGTGTATAATATTGGGCTGCACAAAAAGTAAGTGCGGATTGGAAGGGTGTCGTATATTTTGAGCTGCTTCCAAGGAACCAAACGATTAATTCGGATGTTTACTGTCAACAATTGGACAAATTGAATACAGCCATCAAGGAGAAGCGACCAGAATTGGTCAATCGTAAAGGTGTCATATTCCACCAGGACAACGCTAGACCGCACACATCTTTGGTCACTCGCCAAAAACTGAGTGAGCTTGGCTGGGAACTTTTGATGCATCCACCATATAGCCCTGACCTTGCACCATCAGACTACCATTTATTTCGATCTTTGCAGAACTCCTTAAATGGTAAAACTTTCGTCAATGATGAGGCTATGAAATCGCACTTGGTTCAGTTTTTTGCAGATAAAGGCCAGAAGTTCTATGAGCGTGGAATACTAAATTTGCCAGGAAGATGGCAAAAGGTTATCGAACAAAATGGCAATTATATATTTGATTAAAATTCATTCTAAGTTTTATTAAAAAAATATCTCATGGGGACTACTTTAAAGGGCACAAAATAGATATTCATGAATAAAGAAATAATTTTTGAAAAAACACAAAATTCGCGATAATTTTTGAACACGCCTCATATATGTATAATCAACTTAACATACATACATACACACATATGTACATATTTCGTTTATTTCTTTCATAAATTTTATTTTTATATTTATTTATATATGTTTATATATATATATATATATATATATATATATATATATATATATATATATATATATATACAAGTACGTACATATGTACATATATAGATATAATGTACACACATGCAGCATAAGCCAATATTAATCAAATGAGCTATAAATGGCATAAAGATCAATATGTATGCTTGCTTTGTAGTAAATTCACAAATATGAATATGCAAATGCAATTTTCAATGAGTTTACTTTGGCAAATTTATTTTCAAACAGTAAATATGAGGTAGACGCTAATATTTGAATACAAGATTACATTACTATATACATACACAAAATGTTTGTTTTGAGTCACTAGAGTGTCCTCTTCTTCGGAAAGCAATTTTTTTTAGAAATAAAATAACATAAAATGTAAGTAAATGAAGCAAAATAAAATAAAGTTGATATACGCCCACACCCTGATGGAAGAGAAAGACGATTTGACCAAAGATGCCTTTTATGAGCGCCTAGGGCATACTTACGAGCGCTGCCCCTGAAACGATGTGAAAATCGTGCTTGGCGATTTTAATGCCAAGGTGGGCAAAGAAGGTATCTTTGGTACGACTGTTGGAAAATTTAGCCTTCACAACGAAACATCCCTTCGGTTGAGGCCGATCATTCTTCGCCGGGGCTCGAATTATGGTTGTATGTAGTACTAGATTCCAGCAAAAAAAAAAACATCAAGCTACTTGGCTGTCCCCTGATTGAAAAACACAAAACCAGATCGATATTATTGTGATACACAGAAGACATGTATCCAATGTTTTTGAGGTGTGTACACAACGAGGACCCAACATCGACTCGGACCATTATCTTGTTGCAGTGAAAATACGCATGCGCCTCTGTGTATCGAAGAAAGCCCGTCAGCAAACACAAGAAAAGTTCGAAGTTGAAAAGCTGCAATCGCAACAGACTGCCGAACGATTTTCTACTCGACTTGCACTCCTGCTCTCTGAGAGCACCCACCAGCAACTCGGTATACGTGATCTGTGGGACGGCATCGCAAGCTCCCTACGTACAGCTGCAAACGAAACTATTGGATTTCGGCAGTGCCAGCAAAAGAGCTGGTACGATGAGGACTGCCGTGTCGCAATGGAGAGGAAACAGACTACCTCGCAACTCTGCGATCGACCATAACACGTCCGGAGTGGGATAGATATCGAGAGCTGAAGAGGGAAGCAAGACGCATTTGCAGACAAAAAAAGAAAGAGGCCGAATTGCGTGAATATGAAGTGCTTGGGAAGCTGATCGGCGAGGGTAATGCTCGAAAATTCCATGAGAAAATACGACGATTTACTGAAGTTTTCAACGCCGGAGCAGACTCATGTAGGACACAAAGAGGTGATCTAGCCACCGAGGCCCAGAGTATACTAAATTTATGGAGGGAGCACTTCTCCAACCAGCTGAGTAGTAGTGAAAATGGAGAATCTGGGGATAATGAACCCGAAACCCCAATCTATGACGATGGAAAATACGTTCGAATAGTGATTGCCCGCTTAAACAACAACAAAGCGGCGGGAGCTGACGGCCCACCGGCAAAACAATTCAAACGTTGCGGTGAAAGGCTGACAAGGTGCATGCATCAGCTACTTTGCAAAATATGGTCGGATGAAAGCATGCCCGACGATTGGAATTTAAGTGTGCTCTGTCCAATTTATAAAAAAAGGGGATCCCACATTCTGCGCCAGTTATCGTGGGATAAGTCATCTTAATATCGTCTACGAACTTAATATCCGACGAACGAAAACCAAACTCTATAAGTCGCTCATCATACCCGTCCTACTATATTGACAGAGACGTGGACGATGTCAACAGCTGATGAGTCGGCTTTAGGAGTCTTGGAGATAAAAGTTTTGCGAACGACTTATGTTCCTTTGGTCATTGGCAACGGCGAATACCGCAGATGATGGTATGATGTGCTGTATGAGATAAACGGCGACATTGACATAATTCAGCCAATCAAGAAGCAGCGGCTGTGCGCTATGCGCGAATGGATGCTAGTACACCAGCTTATTCGATGCAGTACCCGCCGGAGGAAACAGAGGCAGAGGAAGACCTCCACTCCTTCGGAAAGACCAGGTAGAGAATGACCTGGCCCTACTCAGTATTTCCAATTGGCGCCAAACAGCAAAAAGAAGAAACGAATAGTGCAATGTTGTTAAATCGGCTACAATCGCGATGGCGATTGACGATTTGTAACCGCTTGAGCGATTTCCTGCCGAGCTGCTCCTCCAATTTGTGGTTTTGCGTCTAGAGTGACCAACAGTTTATGCTAAGCCGCCTCCGCACGGCCGCAAATAAAAATATTAAATTTTTAAATTTTTGGATGTCGGACTAGGAATCGAACCCTGACTTTTCGAATGTTAGCCTATAATGATAAGTACTCGGCTATTGTAGCCGCCACATGTAAAGTAAATACATTATTTTAAAAAGCCAGACATTATTTAAGCATTGAATTGAAGCCTTCGACATAAAAATTATCCGATTCACGTAAAATATGCACCGTTTTCCTCGATAACTTTTTGCCATTTTGAAGGTAATTTCATTATGCCGCCCTCATAGAAACCCTTGGTCTTATTGCCATGAAGTCGAGGCAATCGATCTTCATGGGCTTCATTCGCCACAGACAGAAATAGATGGTTATCATTTGATGCGATGTCCGGACAATAAGTTGGATGTACATATGAGAACCTCCTTAACAAGTTCTCGAACCTTCTGCCGAGTTATTGCCGATGTGCGTGGTTTAGCATTGTCCTGGCGAAACACAATTCACCTCCTGTTGGTCAAAGCTAGGCGCTTCTGGGCGATTGCTTCTTTAAGGGGAGCAGTTCATATTGGATGAAGCCTTGCTACTAAAAACACAACAAAACCTTCTTAGCAAACAATCAAGGCTTGGACGTTATTTGTGCCGGCTCACTGCCCTTTGAATACGATCGTTTTCACTTGACGTTCATCCATTTTTCATCACTAGTCATCATCCGCTCCATAAATTTGTAGATTTTCCTACGATTCAACAGCGATTCGCAGATGGAAATTCGGTCCATGAGGTTTTTTATCGTTACTTGCATTGTCACCTTCATCAGAGAATAATCTTAGAATATTTCATATTTTCCCTTTCCTGATGCCCATCTTTGACAAGGGCCCAAACACTACTGAGTCAATTGATGAACACTTCTCTCGTTATAATTTTTAGTACAAAATATCGTCTTTCCAACGCCACCTGGCGTAATCCAATTATATTTAGAGAACGCGAGATAGAGATCACTAAAGCCGATTATTGCAAAAATAGTGGATTACTTTTTACTAGCTTATTTATTTCCCTTGAAACTCTTTTCACATTACCTTTTCAATTTCATCAGCATCGTATATGAATAGCAAATCTGGGCGTCCGATGAGACCACTAAAGCGTACAATCCGGCCATAACGCTCATGCAATAGCGATGAGATTTTCGCAACATCAGATATTGTATATTGACCGATGATCGGCATCATTCTGTAAGCGAAAAAAAAGTCAGTTCGTTAAAGAATATCTCATGAATGCATAGACAAAAACACAATAATAATAATCCTAGTAATTTGTATGAAACTCACGACAGCGGACAACGATCGTCAGTAGTTTGGGTAAAAGTTTATAGCTTCAATTTGCATTTTATGCTTGTAATAACTGGTCGAAAGTGAGAATGATTAGCTCGCCTTTATGAAACATGAAATGGTGCAGCTTTTTTTCTTAAATTTCTCTTCATTAAAATTTCACAGCAGCTGCACATACATATATGTATTAACATTAGAAGGGCCGAGGTTCCAGTCCTCATTCGACCAGCATCCAATGTAATGTAAAACTATTTTTCCTCATGCGGTCGCTCCTCAATAGGGGTTACATACACGCATTTCTTGAAGGCCAAAAAAGCTTATTTTCTTTAATTTTTTTTTAAAGATACTAAATAAAGTATACAAATTATTTTGTTTACATATAAAAGTGCAATGTGTGGGCAACATTTGATAAAAATTTGAATGAAAAATAGCCTAAGTTAAGGCGTTGGCAGTGTCGTGAGTGGACCGTCCACAAGAAAATGCTTTTGTGGTAGTCATGATAACTTTTTCAATTTTTCTCTGAAACTAAAAATCCATATTTTTCCTAAAAGTAGGTGAATTTCACTCGTTCCTGGATGAAGGAAAAATTAAAAAATTAAAAATTGAATCTTTTGTAGCGTTTTTACAAAAAACGTCATTATTTTGCATGAAATTTGGCCACATATTGGCTTGTAAAATGAGTTGAAATTAAAGATAAAATAAATCCTTCGTTCATGGACTACAAAAAAAATATACTTAGAAGAAGTGTGGAAAATTTGAGCTCGATCGCTTCAAATAGCCGTTGAGAAATTTTGACCACCGATTTCGTTAAAGTGGTTTTAAGAAAAACGCGTTTAATGTTTCGCCATCGGTAAAGCCATGAAAAATTCTCTAATTTCTACAGTTTCGTCCCGATGGACTTGAAACTTGGGGAAAATATTCCTGACACTTTGGAAATAGAGAAACTGCTTAAAAATTACTCATTAAGGTTATCTAACCACCCAAACTTTCTAACTAAAAAATTATTACAGCAGAACTACCTTAAGCGATTAAAGAGCAAATATTTACGTTTGAACTCCGCATATTTCCTTCATGATATTATAATTTACTTCAAATTATCCTAATTAAGTAATTAATTATTAAGGCAAGTGATCAGATGATAAGTCGAAAAAGGGTTTTACGCTTACTAGTGCTCTATTGATACCACAAGTTACTCCAAAGTCAATAGAATCTGGGGTTTTGCTGAGATCAGTTGGCTAACCGGTAGATACAATAGAATAACGTCAAAACTGTTATTTTGAATGGCTTTATATAAATTTCTACTCTTTGGAGATATTAGCCTCGATCACCAGAAGGAATGTTTTGCGTTATAATCACCTGCTACTAGAAACCGTTTACCTTTTTTAGAAAAGAAAACAGTAAATTGAGTTTCTGCTATGTTGTATCGGGGCGGATAATATATGGCGGAAATGTTTATACCACAGAATTATCATATATATGAACTGAGGTAGCGTGAAGGTAGTCTTTACAGTACTCTTCCATTATATAATGTTTAATTTTTTGCCTCATCAGTATTCCAGTTCCACCGCGCGCTTTACCTTCAGGGTGTTTGGTGTCATAAAACAAAAATGTATCAATATTGAAGTTGTTAAATTTGGTCAAATGAGTTTCGGAGATTAGCATTATATCTATTGCTTGATTTTCTAAGAAGAGTTGAGGTTTTTTTTATGTTGGATCAAGCCGTTGGCGTTCTGCTATCCATATCCTAAGGTCATTCATGGCTTAGACATTGCATCATACTTTGCACAACTTAATCTCTCCGTTTCAATCAGGCTCCAGGAAAAATTACAGCTGTAGTACTGCGGTACTAAAGATCACTGATGACATTCGATCTAACATGGATCAATATAAATTCACCCTGCTTTGCTTACTTGACTTTAGGCTGTAAGTTGAAGGCGTACTATGGTTTTAGTTGTAGTGCTTTAAAGCTTGTGAAAAGCTGCCTTGTTGACAGGTTTCAGTTAGTAAAAATTGAGGACAACACATCTCAAGTCAAGCCAGTTATATCAGGGATGCCTCAAGGCTCCATCCTGCTTTTCAGCGTATTTATTAATGACATCTTTATTGTGAGCAAATTGCATGGTTATGCTGATGACATTCAGTTATATTTATCTGCACCTCTTGATCAAGCTAAAGAGCTATGTAAAAGCATTAATACTGACTTCGCTGATATGTCTAGCTGGGCGGCTGCCAGCGGGCTAATTTTAAATAAAAACAAGTGCTGTGTGCTGCCAATCAGTGCTAGAAAATTGACAAATCTGGATTTTTTGTCCCCAATGTTCATAGACAATTGTCCCACAAAATTTGTCAGCAAGATTAAAACCTTAGGATACATTATTAACTCTAGTCTTACATGCGCGGATCATGTAAATTCCAATGTAAGTAAGGTCTATCTCATTCTGAGGAATCTTAGGCAGTCAGCAATCTATAGACCCACTGCTATCAGACGCCGACTTGCTATACAAATTATTCTTTCGTTTGGCTGCTCGTAAAATTGATGTTATGTTCAAGAATGTCACACGGTATGTGTATGGTCTTTCCAAATATGAGCACATCTCGTCTTGGAAACATCAGATATTGTAATGTACGATTGCAGACTTTCATAAAGTCAAAAATTGTATTTTTCTTTGCAAACTCATTATGACTCAATCTCTTAGCTATTTTTTTCCAAGTTATCTTTTACTCGTTCAGCCACAACAATCCTCAAGGCTGTTCTTTGTCAATGTTAGTAGATTATGGAACTCTCTTCCTGTTAATTTAAGTATGAAATTAAACAGAAGCAATTTTTACTTGCCCAGGCCTTTTAGGGAAATATATATTGGACAGTCCCTATAATTGGCGGGGTGATTTTCACCGCCATACATCTTTTTTTTTTTAATTTTAAACATGAGGTGTTTGATATCCCGAATGATATCTATATAAGCACATTCTTTGATAAATCTAAGTTATATTTGTAATTTATTGTACTTATTGTACTTTGTTAATCTGTACAGTAGTAATGACTTTGACCTTGTGCCAGGAATAAGAATTAGCTTTAAGATTTTCGAAATTATTGTTAGTCTCCTAAAAGGAAAGATTCAATAAAACATTATAAAAAAACAAAAAAATATCACTTTGGGGTTTTTAAAATGCGATATTTGGTCATGAAAAATTACTTAGTACAGAATAATATGGCAACCTTTATACAATTTGTGTGACGTTGAACGCTGTAATAGGTCCTCATAACCTAAAATAAGTATGAGAACATTAGATCTACTATTTTCGCAAGTATCAAACTCAATTATAACATGACTTTAAAGAAAGTAAGTTTTATATTTATATAATTGCATAGAAAATAAAAGCATAGAAAATAAAAATCGACAATTACTTTTTGGTAAATTCAAAACGAAAAATAATATTTTTCAAGAAATGGGCTTGAATTATACCAGCTGATTCTATAAACAGAAAAATTTAACGATAATAGACCTTTTAGTCTTGTAGTGATAAAGAATTACGTCAAATCTACCGCCACTTTTTAAATGACTGATATCAGAGAGATTTCCGAAGGCAAAGAACGGATTCCTTTGATTTTGGGTTGAGAATTACCCAGTGCGTCGATTTTAACCTCGTTCTTTTCCCGATCTCAGACTTGGTAACACAAAGTTACCCATACAGAATGGCAAATTTGCACTTTTTTTACAGTGTACAAATATTGACATGCCCCAAATAGAGTTCTCTATTTGAAATACGCCATTTCGGATCTCGAAATTTAATCAGCTAACTCGAGATCAACAAGGCCAAAAACCTTTGTATACGTGAAGTTCTTCCAAAGCTAAGTGAATTTCTGAGTTCGGGCCCTTTTACTTCTCACTGTTTCCGGTAAAGTAAATTTTGTTACTTTTCTTTAACACCCGAGATTGAATTTGGTATTCTGGCGAACTGGTTACAATGTTTGAAAAAACTTTGGCAGCACTGCTTTTTTCATCCATGTCAAATTACATTTTCCAATTGGTTAAGTAAAAAAAAAAATTCACATCGAAATGGTAGACGGTGCACAACAAAATGAATAAGTTTTATTTATTTGTTTATTAAATTATAAATATTTGAACTTAATTTTGGAAAATATGCCTAAACGACAAAAAAAGTTCAATGATAACTCTATCTTCCAAATTAAAAGGGCCAATTTTTTCTCGCGAACTTCTTGGCATATGCCATTTTACACATTTTTCTTCATCTTCAATGAATTCTAGGCCTAAAATAGGCCTCCCATTTTTGGTTTTTATTTTTTCTCAAACTAAAAACACAAAATCAAACAGCCGGTTTTTTTGTTACCTCCTTTTTCGCTGGTAACAACATTTACAGGGTGACGGAGAACTCAGAATACGAAATAGTAACAAAATTCACTTTGGTACTAAAATTTACATCGACAGAATAGGCCTGATAGTATTCCGATTGGCATGAAATAGCTTTTGGAATATTTTATTTGAAACCAAACTAGGTTATAACCCCGCGAAATATGTCACACAGAAAGCAAAATGGGAATATGCGCTTCCGATAACTATTTATTTATCTCCTCATTATCAATTTAGTTGGACGAACGCCGTGAAGCTACAGTGAGTTCTACGTCTAATTCTACAGTACCCATTCATAAATATGACATTGGATCTTTTGTCAATAAATCAACTGTTGTTGGCATAGGCTCCATTATTGGGCTTCAAGACAAGATCTGGTTTCTTTGCGATACCTTCAAGTTTCCTTCATTCGGACCACGAAATGGAAAATTGCAAAGAACTTGGTGGCAGAAATATGCCTGGTTAGCTTATTGAGCCAAAGATGATGGGGCCTTCGGTAAATTCTTTGCGCTTTTTTCTGGAGTTGGAAATC